CTTTCACAGAGGAACCTACTTACAAGGTTGCTTAAAACTCTTCGGCAACCCGCGACCGGTTTCGCCCTTGGGGCTCATCAGGTGGGCGCGGTCCCCGAGTTTCCGTCAACCTAGTGTTTACTGTTTTGCAGGCAAAATTGGTTTTGCGAGAGACACACCTGGAATCCAGCGGAATATCTCGTTTGTGATGTTTCCACGCAATTTGGTTTCAAGTAGAACATAAGGCTGACGGAAACTCGAGGACTATACCTACCTGATGAGCCCCAAAAAGGGCGAAACTGGTCGTGGGCTGTCAAAGAAGTTTCAGCAACCCTATGAGTAGTGCATTACGTAAACAATACCGGTTATTCCTCTGGAATCTGGTCTTCCCAATCAATTCCTCCTTCCAGTAGGTTGAATTCACCTAGGGACGACTAGTGGGACCATACTATCTGTAATTTCTCCCTTTTTGTTTATACAGCGAGGTGACTTGCACGTTTGACTCAACAGGATCTCGGCCTATTCATGGCTTGTTCGTATAAACAAAAAGACTTTGTTTATCATATGGCTGCTCCAGGCTTTGTCTGTCCTACTATTGAAACCCGTCCGTAGAAGAACCAGTCATCCCACAGTGGCAGTCTGCAGCGGGACGTTCGCTGTGGCTAGGCTATTCGTGAGACTGTGTTTAACAGATTATACCTCAAAGGGTGGACCTATATTTGACTGGTTGGAATTGTTGTCACGTCAGTACGTAGTGTGTGTTACCTCTACCGCATTACCACAGGCTCTGCTCGCACAACTTAAAGAGTCATGGACGTGTGGTGGCCAACCAGTAAGCCCTCTGAAAGAATTCCAGAGGGAGAATTCTTTCTGAGTCTAAACAAACAAGATCTCACTTATTTTTCCCTCAACCTAGTAAGGTGCTTTGATATATACTTGTCCGGCAAGATTTTACTGAAAACACCGTCTGCAACCACCGTTTCCTGATCACAATTAGGGCTATTTAGCAGATGACCATTCATATGCATCAACACTACGCGTTATTATTCGACCTCAGAGATCAACTTCTCCACCAACCCAACTAACCAGACATGCATACCACAAAGACCCTGCAAAAATGAACTGATTTCCCGCTGAGGGGTTGGGTGTATCATGTCCATATCTCGAAAGCATCCGAGCTTGTCCAAAGGATGACCGCTGACCTGTGTTGAACACATACACGTCACTGTAAAGCCTAGCATTTTTTTACGCCGGCGCGATGGTGTTAACCATGGTGTGGCACACATGCAAATGGGGTCTTGATCGTGCTACCTTAGTAACCAACTTCATGCGAAGTTGGCTCGTCGTTCTGACTCCACCACATATGAAGCAGGTAATGGCACAAGATTCGACAGGAATGGAGACCGAATGTCGAGTGCGAAGGCCAAGCCACATCAACCAGACTTATAACTGTGATACAGAAAAAAAGGTACTGAAATTTCTAGAGGATCTTTTACTGCTTGTGTCCCCAGTATCAGCTCACACGGCACCTCTAGCCTTTGAACAACCAAGTGTGACCAGAAAGTTAGCAATATATGGAAACCTGTAGAACAGTGAGCCGGAGTTGCTCACTCCGTTGCCAGACTGACAAGCAATGGACCATCAGTCCCGCTACGATGCCGGACCCCACATCCACCTTTAAACTTTGGTGGGAATACTGCTACAAGAAACCAGTGCATAGGATTTCCGCAGTGCAGTAGGTCCCTTGAAAGCGTTTCGGCAGTTGTCTACAATACTGTTTGTGTCCAAAGCTGTCTTCTCATACCTCGTAACTATTCGCCCTGAAAACATCGTAATGGTTATCAGCAATGTATAAATCTGAATCTTTCTGCTTTCCTGTGTGTGTGAGAGAGAGAGTTAACTGTTCGCTAGTAGTGTGTGAGAGAGAGAGTTAACTGTTCGCTAGTTATGTTGACACCTAGATGATGGACAGCAAGCACAGCCTCGTGAGAAGGTTGGATAAATAAAAATTGTTTAGGCACAAATATCCAGTAGTGTGTAAGAACAGGAACAGTAAGAGTTAATTTTTAAATGCATTGTGCTCGTTCCTCATAGCCACCGGTTTTTGGTTTACCGCATGGAACAGCTTTCATCTGTTCGGCCTATTTTGTAGCCTTGATGTTGAGAACGGAAGGCCACTTGAGTCTGCTTTCACCGTGGACGCGCTAATACCCCGTATGCTTTTTTACTCTATCGGTTTGTTCAAAATTATCATGCATGCGGGTCGGTTTATTTAACGTCACAGCGAAGGATTTTTTTACCCCGATGGCATTTACATTTGTACGGGAGTTCAACCGCCACATTGTTTTGTCCACATTGAAGGTCATGTCTCGCGCGTCACTTGCCTGTTCCTCAATAGGAGATTAAACACTTCCAAGTGGAGGTGGGTTGTATGAAATAAACCATTAGGTTGACCTAATCACAAAGACCCCTTTGAACCAGTTAATGTAAATTTGTAAATTGGGGCTCTTGAAATTTATTAAAGTAAGTCTATTAGATATCTGGATCAGTTGCTCCAGTCGCCTAAACTGCCAGCTGAAAATGTAACGTACCGTGGGGAATGCGAGATAGACGTTTACATGAGTATGTAGCACTAATGGATAAACGGCCAAGTTAGGCCTAATTGGCCTATCAGGTTATGTGAATTTTGGTACTACCAGGCAAATTGAAGTTTCAGACCCAAGACGCTTGTGACACAGTAGCCTGTAGCTGGCACGTATGTCTTCTTGCTGTGAGTGTTTCACTCGATTGCAACTTACAGCCTACTGCAGTTTGGTGACAGAACAAGGAAGACCATAGTGAATAAGACTGACATACTGAAGCGTATAAAAGATCATCACTTAAAATCATATCACCCGACTTGATAAGGTTGGATCAGCCGTTCACTGAAAAGGCTTAATAAGGCATCCAACCAGACAAGCGCACGAGATATTATCAGAGACATCCAATCATTCATGGATCGCCTGGTCACCTCAGTACATGGGACAGTGAAGTTGGACATGCTGAGGTCTGAAACTGTCACCATGTGGGATTGAGTCCGGTATCAGTCAAATCGATTTATTGCGAATAATATACCTGGGAGGTAAGAAATGCCTTTAGAAGCCTCTGGACAGTTTGATAATACAATCTGATAATCAGCGAATGATATTATTTTTATCAATTATGGTTAGAAGATTTACTCTGAGCACGATTTGGTCGAATTCCATGTGGTTCTAGTTTCGAATTTCATACCTACACGGGGGATAGGAGAAATGTATTGATACATCGATTCGCACAAACACATCGCGCCAGCAAATCCCATGCATTTCAGATCCGGGTTGAATGCGCACTGCGAGCTGGCCGATAAATAAATAGCCTTGGTATTATACAGTTCTACTACGTTTTGATGAGGTATCATTGCATTGGTGATTGTTGATATGTTCACCGAGTTTGACAGACATTTCGTCGCCGAACGAGGTGTTATTTTCAGTCAGCGGATTTCACCCCGACTGGTGAGGAAAGATTTACAAGCTAATTGCCAAGCATCCCATTAAAAGTCCTCCTTAATAATTGTTCATAGTTGTTCCAGGACACATGTCTTGTCGGATCAGTGAGACCGCTATAGATGGTTCCCTCGTTCATTGTCGTTTATCAACAGTCATACGGATGCTCAGCCCCAGATCACTGTATGCCAGTAGTGAACAACATAATTATCGTTCATCAGTTACACCCTTCCGGTGCATAGCTACTAGAGGGAAGCACGAAGGCCGAGAGTTCGCGGTCACTAGTTCCGAAACTTACAAACTGAATTATCTTGAGCTCATGACCTGGTGAGTTAACCTAAGTATAGGTAATCGATCAGAGCACATGACAAACGCACTTGATCCTGCCCAAGCTCAGACAGCGTTCATCTTAGTGCCGTGTCTAATCTTTGTTTTTATTGTAGAGGTTGAGTGATTTTGCCCAAGAACACGTTTAAACTTGGAAATGATGGACTGATTTCATGATACAATTTGTCGATTATTCACATCGGGGACATTTTCTAATCTTGAATAATGAGGATCGCCAACTATGCTGCCACTGATGGCTATTTTTATCGTCTGTTTGCACCTCTTGGGTGGGTCGCTCGCGACAAATCGAGTTCAAGGATTCCACATTCAAACTCAAAGTAATGGTTTGAAGAACTAACATGGCAAATCCTAATCTGAAAATCAGGGAAAATAGGTTTTTCTTATGTCATTCCGTGCAATGCGTGGTTCCACATCGCCGTACAAACCTACCACCATCCCTCACGTGTATGGCAGCTTGGACTGGCGTAAGTGAACTCTGGCGAATACTGCTACACTTGTAGATTTGCTTCGGAAACCATCATCGGCCACATGAGCCTGTATTTAAAACTTTCGTTAAACTTCGATCGATTTTTGGAAAGTGTCACGGGGTTGGATGCGCCCTTGGCTTCTTTTAGTGCAAGTAAACACTGGTCATCATACGGTGAAATTAACAATGCGGGCAACCAGCTCTAACAACATATGCCGCTTGGTGCGAGTGTGCGAACGGCGGTATGCACGCCATTCCGGAGAAACACTGTGCGAACACTGTCCAGCAGCGACCCGTGGCCAACTATGAATAACTGACGCTGCCACGTAGTTGTGTTAGTGTGGCCATTCGGTTCTGCGTGCTGTTGAGCGCATCCAGACACATCGTCCAATCATATTGGCTTTACCAGCACACAACTAGCGAGTCCGCTTGCACGGCTGTTTTCAAGTCGCTCGTGCGCAACGGTCCGTGGTCCACGCCCGCGCCCTAGCGCTTTCTTCAGCTGGTAACTAGCAAAGCAGAGGAACCTGCACCTAGGTGTTGTGCTACCGTATTTTTTCGTAGACTCTGTTGGAAGACCAGGTCAAGCCAACGAGACAAGTCACTTCTATCGCCCTTCCCCACTGGATGCGTTCCGAGACTATTTCACAATTGCGTACTTCCTTTGTTTTTCCTCTCTAATTCAGTGTGGTAAGCCACCTGCATCAGTGCACTTCAGGGCAGTTTGTGATGCATCACCATCAGCAACCCGGTAGTTTACGCCAACAAGATATCGTGGTCCTCAATTCACAAACCGGTGAAGTGCTGGGTTCGCGTACGCAGCCGGTTCAGAAAATTTCCCTCATGTCTGGTGGTCAGTCACCGAAGGTTGACATTATGCATACAAGCTCGGGTGATGGGGTGAATGGAACGACCACACAGCAACCAACCAATGCCCCAGACACGCCAGCTGCACAGGGAACACAGCCCTACAATTATCGGATGCAACAGGACGGGGGCGGTGGTGGAGCCAGCCCACGTGGTGGAGGCGCTGGGGGAAGTGGTGGCTCAAACGGTCACATGATGCCTTACGGTTCAATGGAGCGGGGGAGACAAGTTTACAGCATGGCTGAATGTCAGATGGCCCAACTGATTGTGTTTATGGACCGCGCACAAGTGTGTCGTCGGATTCGACCTCGTTTTAATGCGTCTGAAATCACGGAAGTACTATTCGAACACCTTTCTCCGGCGATCGATAAGGATTCTATTCGGTAGGTTCCGTTGTAAATTTTGTCTCTGGTCATAGTTACTCGCTTTATCCTGCTATGCAGTGGTTTGCTAACTTTGGCTGATGACTGTCAGAAACACCCGTACAACGATATTTGTGATTGACAACGATGCATCATCTTGGTACCGAAATTTTTCGCAAATGACCAACCATGGGACTGGCATAAAACGGCGGTACCGACTGAATAAACATATGCAGGAACCACAGACTGAAAAGTTACTGACAAACCCAGAATAAGTAGTGCCTCGTAACCTAAATGTGGTGGCGTTGATAACATCCGTATTTTCGCGGACAAATGTAGCTTGCGTTAGTCAGGCATTTTTCTATGATCCCGTTTGGCTCCGGTAACTGTTTTTTTTTACCTCTAAAGGCGTGTGAACGGCGGCACCCACGGTGTTCTGTACTTGGAATGAGTATCTCACTGTATGGAACAGTTTCAGGATTAGATGCTATTTGTGTTGTCCATATTCTCCATGGACTCTGCGGATAGTAAACATGGGCACTAGACGAGTGTTTCGTAGTAGACCTTTCATCCTTTTTTATGTCTACACGGAGTGATTGACATTAGCTACGGTTTTACCGGCTGATCTGTCGAAAGTGAGTTTATCCGTTCCAATACTGAATATGGGGCTTTCTCCTAGTCGTTCGTTTAAGAATGCACCGCAAGCCTTCCGGGTCGGACCACTCGATACCCATGTGAACCAGTTGCTGAGATTTTGCCGTTGCATAGCCGAACCAAAGGACTTTTGTGGACACTGAACAGGGTTCCCATGATCGATGCAAATCACCGAATCCATCAACACAATGTATCGAGTGCCACCACATCGCCTGAAGACAAAATGCACTCGGAACAGATGGGTCGATGACTATTGGACCACACTAGCAAATCGCCTGCCACCAAATGGTTGCATGAAAGCCGTCTTGCTCGACCAACCGTTATCCTCAATTAACTGTGGTTGAGTGACTTAAATGACTCCTTTTTTATAGACTGTTGATCACGTAACCTGCTTTTGTACGAATATTTTGACCGTTTTCAACCATTTCAGACTGCGTCCTTTAATCAAGACTTTAGTGAACAGTTATTTGAAATACTCAGTGGTTTACGAGGGTAGATTGTCTCAAGGGTAAACGTCCTGATTGTGTAGGACATCTCAGTTTGCACTTAGCAAGGAATTCACCACGTTGTCCTAAAAAAACCGATCCCAGAAGGTCTGCTGTCAAAATGGACTGCATTTGGTCGCAGCTGCAAGATCTTTATTGTGCGCCCTTTCGCAATGAAAGAGAATGAAATTTTGCATGCTTGGTACAGACATTTCTGAGTAAAAAGTCAAGTCACTTTTGATTCCAGTTGATTTGACAGCAACGAGATCAAATCAGAGTACAGTTTAAAGTCACGTGATTATTTCTTTGGGGTGTTATCTTTTGGTCGAAGAGCAGAAATCATGGGAGGGAAGGGGAATTGTACAAAGTTTGGAACCTGGGCGTCTGTAGATTTTTTATTTTCAAAGCGTGTCGCCGTTGCACTTTTTGATGCATAGTGTACTTCAGATACCTTGAGAACAGTGCCCGGATTACTGCCGAACTCCAAATTATATTTGAATGCTCAACCCGCACTTGAACGATGGCCCTGCGGTGGGCTTAGATGCTTTGCCGATACTATGCTTCTTACAACCCTCGACCCTAAAATGTCCACTTGGTGGACATGATCAAGTGTTCCCAGGCTTTGGGGTAGCCATGCTGTTTGCTCGTGGTACGGCACTCGCCTCGTAAATCAGCTGTCCGAGGTACCCATCCACTAACGTCCAAAAATATACATTATTAATAAGGCCTAATAAGAGAGAAACTCAAGTCCAATGTTTTCGGTGTAGACACATCAAAACAGTTGCACCTTGAGGGATGGGGGACTTCTCGGAGAGTGATTCGAATGCAACTATGACTATTGACACAGAAAGCTCGAGCTACGCATCTTACCCATTTGGCCGCCTTCATCCTCCCAACGAGCTGCGGCTCGTTTGGACAGTGTCGAAGTGTTTGATTCACTAAGACCTGCTTGAGTTAGCTAATGTACCGTGGAAACCAGCCGAGGACAGTCTATGAGGGTGTGTTGGGCACATGAGCGCACATACCCGTGCATAATTATACACAATAATCAGCAACTGGCTGCAGGGGCATGTCCTAGACTGAGTGATTCATACAATTTTCCGTTGCTGGACTGACTAAGGTCACCCAATTGATTCACCAACTGCATCGAGCTTGCTGGTTTTATAGCATACAGACCCAGTTGCACAGCTGAACTAAGGTCAGTACGGTGTGTGGGTTGCGTGTATTGTAAATCTCACTGGAACTGCCGTTTGTGTGCCTTCGAGCCTGTAGAAAATTTCTAAAAAAAAAAAAATGAATAGCCTCCGATACGCTGCGTTGAATTTGTTCTTCCTCGACGTTCCAAATCGAATTATGCTGCCATAAAACTGTGATCTAATTTTTATCCTCCAGTTTTTCATCAAGTATCCTCAGTCATTCTTTTTCGGTTACGGACTACTGAGCCAACCTATCGGTGTCTATCGGGTTGATTTATCAAGATTGGTCTGAGAAATTTGACGATTGGGCACCAACCTAATGGCATTAGCTGTCTGGATCCACTCTCCACAAACGATAATTTATCAAGCAGTCCAGTCCATATCGAAATGACGTATGGAATGAATCATTCGGCTGATATTTTTCACTCGGCTGCATCGTGGAATTATTGTGTCCGAGCTGAAGGAGAACAGCTGGTGGATGATGTATAGGTGCCTCGGAAATTGCAGACTGGTTATATTGACCAGTAGACGTTTATAAGTCTCTCATTTCGGTGTGTGAAACACCTTTGATCAACATGTTTGGAGAAAAGCCCGTTTGGATGTTTGCCTGAGAATCTGAGAATCCCTATAAACGCTCTTAGAAAATGGAATGTATTCCTCTCCCGGATGAGTTAGCTACGGTCTGATCGGATGTTCAACACGGACCACGTGTATACACTGTTTTTCGCCTGCTCTCTACTTCAGATGACCAGGTTACAACGTCGGCTGTGGTTCCAACGACTCCTCGCGACAGAACCATCTTCCTTAATTTTAATTACAGGCCACGTTTATGTTGTACTTCATTTTTGACTAAGTTTCTGCACAGCAGAGAGGCACATTTACCCCCACCCATACACGTCCTTCTGGACAAAGGTCACCCCTCCTACTAGGATCGTTTTTTATTACCAATTTCCTTCCGTTGAATTCGATGAGAACCTGTAAGAGAAGATTACTTCACCGTGTAGTGAGCATACCTCCCTTAGAATAGTGAGGTGAACACATGGTCGCCAGTACTGGACACTCAGCTCATTTTATTCTACCGGAGACTGCTTTCTTGCAATGCCCCTTTTTTTTAATATTGTCACATCTCTCGACTGACAACCGCGGGTAAATCGAACAATATTTTCAGATCAGAATCAGTTCAGCCTACCTCAGTTATCGATTAGGCACGAAATGCTTACGTGTTTGGCTCACAATGTACCCTCTACTTCAGGGCATCATTAAGCTATAGGCTGACTGGAATATAATCAGACCCACGCAGTCATCCGCGCGCTGATGCTCACCTTCATCCCCGACAAATCAGTCAGGTTGTAGTCTTGCTGGTCGCGTGCACTTGTAACCGGCGTACGTTTCCATAAGCGCCGGTTGCCGTAGACGTAGTGGCAAGCGTCACAATAGGGGAGGAACATCTTCACCTTTTCACAACCCTTTTCCACAGCGTTGTGACAACAAAGTGTGATCGAGAATGTTTATTCTACGAGGACTTCTCCCTGCGCGAGCGACCGGACTCAATTATCTGACACTCCTTGAAGTAGTTAGGTGTATGCCAAATTTAGATGAAATCAGTTGGCAAAGGCTATCTGTTATACCTCAGTACCAAAACATATGTATTGAGGTGCACTTATTTTCTTTGTTGGCCCGGGATTAGACCCTTGTGCAGCGAAAAGTCTACAAAGGCTGAAGACGGAAGCCGTGCCGGTTGCAGTAGTGTCCATCGGAACGACTCCAGATTTAATGAGATAGAAGTACGCTTCTTGAAACGACCTTTCGGATGCATTGTCTTTTTCAGAAACTCAGTGCGAGAGTGGCTGATGGACAGACGGCGGTTAGATCAGTTCTCTCGCATAGTTGTTTGATCAGCCACTGTTTTTGTGTCCACTTACGTCGCTGAATGAATGAACTAAAGGCCCGGAATCCGCGTACCTTGCAGCCATCCAACAAGCTAGTGGAGTTTGGTCGATCGTGCAGAAAGAAGTCCTGACAGAGCAAGTATTCAGGATCACACCTTTCTGTCACAAAGTTGTGGAAAACGGATGGCAGGAGAATTTGAGGATTTTCATTCCTTGCCGGGACGCTTGCTATTAGGGAACTGATCATACGGCACCTTATCTCCCATTCAGCTTGGATTAAACTTTGACACTCAACATACACCTCAACGGCCGGAATATCTAGTCAGCAGGTTCCCTTCTTTCATGGTTCGAATTGTGACTTTTTGTGGCAAACAACAACCTTTTATGGCGCCTGGATTTTTTTAGTTGTTCCACTCAACCCTTTGGCTACTGGTTCTGTGCATTTCGGTCCATATTTTAATGTCGCAGCCACCTCTAGTGATGTGAATCTGGAACTCCTATTGAAATTACTAGATGGTTACGGCGATCTTTTACAAATGAGCTGGGGGAGTGCTCCAAAGTCAAAACAGTGGTGTTCCTTGAACCTGAAATTAGGTTTGTGTCTAAACGTTTCGTCCCATGTTTGACAAGTGTGCCAGAGAAAAAAATAAGACCGTTTGAAAAAACAATGGAGTCCTAGAAACACTGAGCTATTCTCGACGAAGTACACGGATCCATTCGGCGTTGGCAACAGACGTAACTGAGTCTCCTGTTTCTGATGTACCCCAAGAAATAATAGTAATGGTTTTTCGGGTAGTTTTCAGCAGCCTCATAAGTAATGCGTTGAGTCATGAATTAGCCTTTATGGACTGTGAGTATTATGGCAATTAAGAAGTCTAACGGCCAGATTCGACTTTGCCCACAATTATGAATAGGCCTTTGCAAACTCATTAATTCCTTTTCCTGTGCCCAAAACTTGATTATTCATAGGTATGTCTGAAGGAAGCGGTAGACTCTTGTAAAAGCCTTTTGGTTGCCAAAAAAACACTGGATGCTCTATCCCTTTTGGGGTTAAGTGCGCACCCGTGATTTCCTCTCAGATTATGGACACCATCCAAGTGTTTTGCGACTTGCTATATCATGCGAGATGACATCATCACATTCACCAGGAGATCCAGAAGTACATTTACAACAGGATATCACATGGACACATGATACACATTCCGCACAAACGACCTCTTGTAGGGCACCAGAACCAGCGATTAGACAAGTTTGAATTGCCAACGGTGCCTTAACGAAGCATTGTGAAGTAGCACGTACCAAATGATTGGAACACGACATTCCAGGGGACCTCTGCCACCCATCAGTCGGCTAAATGTGAACCCTTCACGGTAACACAGTATTGGTCATTTATGCCATTAGGCATAAGGCGGATCAAAGGGCAGTTATGTACGCACATATCCGTACACACTCACGAACATCCTCATTCCGTATGCCAGACGAACCAAACAAGCTGTGCTCCAATTGATCGAGCGTCTTTGTTGTTTGGCCTAGCCGAGTCCACATCCTTTGTTTATGTACGTGCACACAAGTATGTGTGGCGGGTCGTCTTGCGAGGCGTTTTACCAGCTAACCTGCATTCGGTTTCGGAAACCAGAAGGAAAGTATGGAGACCGCACATGGACAGGGACCACTTGTTTCCGTGGGATGGATGGATGGAACTAAATTCACCATAGGTCGAATTCCCCAGGAAGGAGTAGACTGCCGGTATCTTTTCTGAAGTCATTATCCGCAATCTTCAAGCTATGTAGCTTCATCCTTGTTACCTCCCTCGTGATGATCCTGGAAAATTTAGGAACAACCTCGTGGCTGTTCACAGCTAGTCAAGTTTTTCTAACGTATTCGAATCATGAATTAAGTTAGTTGCATATTTACGTGGAAGAGAGGGAAGATAACAATCGATTTGGTCCTGAACCATACTATTTGTAGAGGCCAGGCACCGTGCATGCCTTCGGTAGCGTTTACAGACTTTCAGTGTAAGCGAACAAGCATTTACATGAGTTGGTGTCACAAAATGATTACTCACTTGCCTCCGAAGCTTTCTCATCTACTTCACTTTGTAAGTTAGCTCTTAAAGTTCCGATTCTTCATGTTTGCTTGCTTTTGTGAATGGGTAGATGTGTAATCAATAGATAAGAGCGTCATTGACCACGTGACTTGCATGAATGTGACAGTCTTAACTTTATGATTCACACCGTGTTTTTTACTGGTATTCTGACGAGATGTGTTTCGCACATGGAGGATGCGTGGAATTCGTGTTGGAGATCGATCGCCTTGGCCGATGTCGACTCGGGGAGCCTGTATAATCAGTTTCTGAACCAATCTGAAGGTCTACTCTATACGTCACTCCTGCCAGAGGATTTCGGCGCATTGCTCAAGAGTTTTTCGATTGTTAATATCTAACCACGTTCAGAGTATTCTCGACTTTCGAGTTATTTGATCCTGCAAATCGGTATTTGCTGAAAGAAACGCGAAGCACCGTACAACCGTTTACCCGTGCGCATCTCAAGAATTTCTAGAGAGATTCGAACTCGTGACCTTTTAGTTGGACACTATACCATTCGGCCGCGAGTGTTCGATCAGGTGTGACTAACATACACTTGGGTAAACTGTAGCCCCACCGTCTTTCGATCATTCAATTCATGTCTCACGATCCGGCGCTGACGTGAAATATTTTGCTGCTGATCGTTTCCGAAATGTGATGACTTGTGTTTTGATGATAGACTGATAGGGACTTTATTAATAACCGCGATTCCATCTAAACCCGAGGGTACGTCTCGTAATCGGTTTGTATAAAGGGTGTATATGAGGTCTGCATATGGGACGAAATAGAAAATAGTGGAACGAAAACTGATGATTCAGACATTTACGCAAGCTCTCAGGTCATGACTTCTCCAGCATTTGACGACAATCGTAATTCTTACTTGCTGTGTCCTCGTTTTGACTAATTCAATTTTAGTTGAAGGTGGTTACGGGACTTTCAGAATACACGTCCATCTCGCTTCCGTCTGAACAGTCCTTTACTTGTCCTGGCGCAATCAGTCTGGTGAGCCTATACCAAAGGGGGAAGCACTGGACTCGAGTTTCACTCTCGTTAGGGCTCATCAGCAATGCATATATTCTTGACCCTGGCGGGGTTAGAATTCCCAACATCTGACATGCGAGGGGAGCGTGCTAGCACTTCCCAGCCGGAGCTAGATAAACGCACTTGAATTATTTATGGCCGTTGGATGGGGCAACGTATCCGTGCTTGAGCAACGTGTTTATTTTACTCGACTCCTAGAATGATGACCCGATAGTTTCCCTGGGTCGATCGACTGACCCGCCTGTCAGGTCTTCCCGGTCGGGCGGCTCCACGGACGTTAGAAACCTGCCGAAGAGTGTTTGATTAGTTGTAGGTGGTTGCGGGACTTTTTGAATTTGCATCCACATTGGTCTCGTTTGAACGGTCCTCCAAAGGGGGGAAGCACTGGACTCCTATCAGAGCTCATCAGGAGTGCATATTCGTGGCTATGCCGGAGGTGGAATTCCGGACATATGACATGCAAAGCGAGTGTCTTTACAGTAATCCGTCATCGTACGCTGGGCGCACCTAGATAACGACTTCTGGGCAGGCGAACGTTTTCTCACTGGTGCGCATGCCCCGAATTCATATTAATTCCTGTCCACCCTATCACCCAGATAGTGTGGCAATACGATTGAGGCAATAATCTGACCCAACACAAGGATTCTCTCCACTCCTGATTCAACGTCCGGTCATAGGCCGATGTCTATCTTTTTCTTTTTTCAGGATTACTGAGGATTGCTATTAAACAGTTCGTTCTTACCGTGTTGCTTTCCGTGTGTGGA